AGATACGTGAGATCAGGGAAAGAAATAGGAGATTGGTGTTTGAATGGAATCGGAATGTTCTCCACACTCTTTGGCATCAGGGGCAAGGTGATTCTAGACTTGGTGGAGTTTACTGGACTAGGGAGATTGAAATGGGAGAGAAAACAGGATGGTGAGGGTATGGGCAATGGTTTGAATACGGTGGGGGGTTGCAGACTTAGGGAGGACTAGGGAGATAGAAGTAGGAGAGTACAATGATAGCTGCAGGACAGCATGGGAAGGGTGGTGGAGAAAAGCACTGAGAAGTAGTGAGAAGAGGTGAGAACCTGGGGGATCCAGGTGAAGAGACCTGTCTCAGGACTTCCTCCAAGAAAAGAGAAGAAAAGGGAGCAGCTGTGCACACACCTCTCTTCTCTGCCCCCTCATCCATAATGCCTTTGAGCAACTATTGTTTGGATTATAAATACAACATTGACTTCTTATTCAGAGAGAAGATAGGATGGTTTTCCAATTTCAAAAGGAATGCAGGAAAAATGCAGAACGTTTGGAAAATTTTGAAAAGCATGAAGGAAAACAAAATAAATTAGGAATCCCACACTGAAAAAATCATGGTTGACTTGTGCATTTTTCTCTGTCTCCTCTCATTCTTTAGCTTTCTGTCATCCACACCCAGGTGGGTAATACCCTAGGGTCATATTTGTATTTGTTCTACTTAGGGTTTGCAGAGCTTCTTGAATCAATAAATTATGTCTTTCAACAAATTGGGGGAATATTTAGCCTTTAGTTAAATATTTTTCTGCTCCAGTTCTCTCCTCTACTTCTTGAATTCCAGATACTGAGAATCCTCAGAGAACTCCAAAAAACATTACTTTAAATTTATAATATATATATTTTAGTTGTGAAATAGATTATTTCTAATTTACTAATTTGTAACTAAAATGAATGGCTATGAATCTTAAATACCCATAAAAGGGCTTATGTTTTTGTATTGGATGACAGTCCTTTGGATGGATTCTTCCGACCCACTTGTGGTCTCAGAACCAATGTCAGGATGACTATGTTAGAGTAGTACTTACAGGGACACCTTAGGGGAAAGAGGAGCAAATGGAAAGCCACAAGAGATTTGGGCCTCAGTGAAATTGCTCTATTTTTTTAAAGACTAATTTTTTAAAGAGCAATTTTAGGTACAGAGCAACATTAACAAGAGGAAGCACTGATTTCCCCATATAGTGTTTGTCCCCACACACGTATACTGCCCCTCTCCATTAACATACATCACTCACAAGAGTGGTGCATTTGTTACAATGGATGTACCTACATTGACACATCATAATCACCCAAAGTCCATAGTTTACATTAGGGTTCACTCTTGGCATTGTGCATTCTATTGCTTGCATAGTTTACACTCTTGCAAATGTAATTCAAAAAACATTCTTGTAAATATCTCCTTATAAGCATAGTAGTGTTTCTCTGAGGTAGATAAAAAGAAGTGGGATTGCTGGGTATGTGGGTATGTAGGTATGTGCATCTTAAATTTTCATTGCTAATATAAATTGCTGAATAAAGTGTTTATATCAATTTACCCCAGTATCATAAGGGAATATCCATTTCATCCTGGTCTACCCCATATTGAATGCTGTCCAATTTTGAGGATATTTTTCAATCTAATGCATGACAATATTAGCTTCTATTAACTTCAATACCCTTGTATTTATTAGCAATTAGTTTTTCTTTTTCTGTTAGTTACTTAGAAATTTTCTAATATTTTGTGAACCTTTTTATTATTGAATTTTAGAAGTTCTCAGTACATGATAGATATTAGTCTTGTATGAACATTGAACATAATTTATCTGGTCTTCAGGCTTTGTTCATGTTGCCTTTTATCATCCTGAAACTATTGTTTAAGTAGTAAAGCTTACCTTTTTTTCCCCAAGGCTTTTGGCTTTTGGTTAAAAGGATGTTATTGATGAAGGTTTTTTTCTTTTTTTTCCTTTTTCACTTTTCTCTTTTTTTTTAAAATTTAAATTCAATTAGCCAACATATAGTACATCATTAGTTTTTGAGGTAGTGTTCATTGATATTGGTGAAGTTTGTTTTATTTATTTATTTATTTAATTTTATATTTTATTTTATCATGTTATGTTATATCACCATACAGTACAACATTAGTTTTTGATGTAGTGTTCCATGATTCATTGTGTATAACACCCAGTGCTCCACGCAATACGTGCCCTCCTTAATACCTATCACTGGGCTAACCCATCCTCTACCCCCTTCCCCTCTAAAACACTCAGTTTGATTCCCGGAGTCCATAGTCTCTCATGGTTCTTCTCCTGCTCTGATCCCCACCTCCTCATTTTTCCCTTCCTTCTCCTAATATTCTCCATGTTATTCCTTATGTTCCACAAATAAGTGAAACCCTATGATAATTGACTTTCTCTGTTCGACTTATTTCACTTAGCATAATCTCCTCCAGTTCCATCTATGTTGATGCAAAAGTTGGGTATTCATCCTCTCTGATAGCTGAGTAATATTCCATTGTATATATGGACCACAGCTTCTTTATGTATTCATCTGTTGAAGGGTATCTCGGCTCTTTCCACAGTTTAGCTACTATGGACATTGCTGCTATGAACATTGGGGTGCATGTGGTCCTTCTTTTCACTACATCTGTATTTTTGGGATAAATGCCCAGTAGTTTAATTGCTGGGTCATATGGTAGCTCTATTTTTAACTTTTTGAAGAACCTCCACACTGTTTTCCAAAGTGGCTGTATCAACTTGCATTCCCACCAACAGTGTGATGAAGTTTTAAATTGTGACCTGTGTGTATTTTCTTTGAAATTTCCTGTACGTCCATAATAGTGTCTGCTTTTCCCAATAGAACAGGATTTCTCAACTTTGGGGGTAAGAGAAGAGAATATGAAATTTCCTATTAACAGCTACTTTGTCTTTACACCTTATATGTTGCTGTAGAAATTTTCCTGTTTCTAATGGACAATAGGAAAACACCTGTTTTTAGCAACTATATAATGTAAAGGAGTTCCAGCAGTTTCTTTTTTTTTTCTTTTAAAGATTTTATTTATTTATTTGAGACAGAGAGAATGAGAGACAGAGAGCATGAGAGGGAGGAGGGTCAGAGGGAGAAGCAAACTCCCTGTCGAGCAGGGAGCCCGATGCGGGACTCAATCCCGGGACTCCAGGATCATGACCTGAGCCGAAGGCAGTCGCTTAACCAACTGAGCCACCCAGGTGCCTGTTCCAGCAGTTTCTAAAGCTCTGGGGTGGGGTGGGGAAAGTGGGGGCTGGATATTTCTTTGTGTCTGGGGCTGTCCTGTGCATTGTACAATGGTGAGCAGAATCTCTTTCCTTCACTCACTAAATGTCAGTACGTACCTCTCCAGCCATGAAACCAAAGATGTCTCCAGAAATTGCCAAATGTTCCCTGGGGCAAAAGTGTCCCCAAGGTGAGAACTATTGCACTAGACCCTTTGAAATGTGAAGGAGGGTTATTTAAAACTCCCCCTCTGCTAGTTTTAAGTCTGGTTCTGTCGACTTCTGTATGGGTTATTTTACTTATTTTTGCTTGTGTTTTTATTTTTTTATTTTATTATGCTATGTTAGTTACCACACGGTACATCATTAGTTTTTTTTGCTTGTGTTTAATAACTTTTGATTTGATGCTGGACAGTGTGTGTAAAACAGCAGACATTGAGGTATAGGCTATTTGTTACTGGAAATAGGCACACCTGTTCTTCTGCTAGGCTATTTTTGAGGGAGCTTGAGTCTAATTAGGAGTCTTTGCACTCTGGGCTTCAATTTATTCTGGTGTTACCTTGTTATCCTGTGCTTACTGTGGGGCTGCTTTGCCAGAAGTTTTTTTCTCATTGTTCCACCTTTAGCTGTAAACCTTCCCTGTGTGGCTGCATCTAAGAGGTCTCTCCACATTCTTGCCACTCTCTCAAGAGTTTCTATACTCTCCTAATTGTCCACACTCAGGCCTGAGTAATTCATTCAGGAATGTAGGTTCTCTTTAAGCATTTCTATGGCATGCTGATCACTTCTTTTTGTCCTTTGCCATAGGTCAGCCAGTGCTCTTGACGGTCTCTCTGTGGATGATCCCGTCTTCCCTTAGACATTAGGCTACTTTGTTGTCCTTACCTCTCCTTGCTCAGAGGTTGAAGAAAATGAATGATTTTGCAGTTTATGTGGATTTTTTCTTACTGTTAGGTTGAAGGCAATACTTGTTTCCATTTTTTATTTTCTAGGCAGAAGTGGAGATTCCCTCTATTTTCTTATATTTTAATAACTTTGTTTTATTTATTTATTTTTATTCTTATGTTAATCCCCATACATTACATCATTAGTTTTAGATGTCGTGTTCCATGATTCATTGTTTGTGCATAACACCCAGTGCTCCATGCAGAATGTGCTCTCCTCAATACCCATTACCAGGCTAACCCATCCTCCCACTCCCCTCCCCTCTAGAACCCTCAGTTTGTTTTTCAGAGTCCATCGTCTCTCATGGTTCGTCTACCCCTCCGATTTCCCCTGCTTCATTCTTCCCCTCCTGCTACCTTCTTCTTTTTTTTTTTCTTAACATATATTGTAACTTTGTTTTATTTTTAATTTTTGATTTGAAATCTGTCACCATTAGTCATGCAAATTCATGGCTTTAGAAAAGATCCATTCATGGGGGACCTGGGTGGCTCAGTTTATTAAGTGGCCGGCTTTTTTTTTTATTATTATGTTATGTTAATCACCATACATTACATCATAAGTCGCCGACTCTTGATTTCAGTTCAGGTCATGATCTGAGGGGTTGTGGGATCAAACCCTGAATAAGGCTCTGAGCTCAGTGCAGATTCTGCTTGTCCCTCTCCCTCTGCACAACCCCCTCCCCCCCGCCTTGTGGGCTTTCTCTCTCTCTCTCAAATAAATAAATAGAATCTTAAAAAAAAGATCCATTCACAAAGTTAGTTTTGTGCAGAGGAAAAAGCATTTTATCTGGACATCTAGGAATTTATGAGAGTATATATCTTTAATGAATTAATAACTAATATATTTATCTACTTTTCTGACACCTTTTATTTACCATTTTACACATTGAGAATTTGGAAAAATGATACAATAAACACTCATATACTCTCCATCAGGAGTCAACAATTGTTAACATAGTGCTACATTAAAACACCTTTCTCAACTTATTTCCACACGCGGATTAAATTTTCTTGCTAAAACATATGATAATACGTGGTAGACATCATGACACTTCATTCTTCAATACTTTCTCGACAAATATTTGAGAATTCAAGGAATGTTCTCTACATAACCACAATACTATCATTATACCCAAGAAAATTAGCAACAATTTCATAATTACTTTCAATGTCTGATACATATTCAAATTATCCTAATTGCCTCCAAAATGTCATGGATAGTTGTGTATCTGAACAAGAGTCCTACTAAAATTGACACTGAATTTGTTTGTTATGTCACTTTCATTTCTTTTAATTCAGAGCATCCTCTAGTCACTTTTATTTTTTCTAAGTTTTATTATGTTATGTTAGTCACCATACAGTACATCATTAGTGTTTGATGTAGTGTTCCATGATTCATTGTTTGTGTATAACACCCAGTGCTCTAGTCACCTTTAAAAATGATATTTTAGACGAGGGCAGGCCAATTGTCTTGTTGAATGCCCATGTTCAGGATTTGCCTGATGGTTTCCTCATGATGTCATTTAAATTGTTTTGTCCCCTGTATTTCATAATATTGATAGTTAGGTCTAAAAGGACAGATATCAGCAAGCTTCTTCTAAAAAGGGCCAGGTAGCAAACATTTTTGGCTTTGTGGCCTTACAGCTTCTGTCACAACTCAACTCTGACATTGTAGCATGAAAGCAGCCATAGGTAATCCATCGATGAAAGGGTGTGGTTGTGTTCCAATAAAACTTTATTAACAAAAACAGGAAAATCCCTGGATTTGGACTGCATGCTATACTTTGCCAATCCACAGCCTAAAGACTGGATTAGATTTCAGTTAGACTGATTTGTTAATAATTCTTTATTTACTAAAAATGGGATGTTGTAATTTCATGACATATCAGGAGATACATAAAGTCAGTTTGCCCACCACTGATGATATTAAATTTCATCATTAGTTTCAGATGGTGGCTGTCAGATCTCCATGTTGCAAATGTATACTTTGTCCCTTGTAATTAATTGGTAGTCTGTGAGGTGATTCTTTGGCACTGTGGTCCCCAGCCTGTTCTCCAAAGCTTTTTACTCAGTGCTCGTAGTGGCCATTTATGGGATATTAAAAGAAACATGCTCTTCTAATTCTGTTGTATTTTCTACATCTATTAGATGATCTTTTAAAGTATCAGTATGGACTCATGGATATGCTTATTTAAAACATTATAATCATGTACAGTCATTTTCCTTGATGTTCAAATTGATACAGAATTGGTCAGAGGGAGCCCTCAGGGAGTTTCTTGTAGGTGTAACTGCTCTGGATTTAGATCTTGCTTAGACTGCATGAGGGTGAAATAATGTTATCTATAAATACATCTCACAAAATGTGCAGTAGCCATATACACCTTTTTCCACAACTCAACTTATAAAACATAAAGATGCAGAAACTCTAGTCCCATAGCTCTGATTTTACTCTGATGAAACTCCCCCCCCCCACTTTTAAATTCTGTGAAATCAGGAATTGGATCTTCTTGATCTGTTCCCAGTACATATTTTTGTATTTTTTTTTAAGATTTTATTTATTTATTCATAAGAGATAGAGAGAGAGAAGCAGAGGGAGAAGCAGGCCCCCAAGGACCAGGGAGCCCAATGTGGGACTCGATCTCAGGACCCTGGGATCATGACCTGAGCCGAAGGCAGACACTTAACCATCTGAGCCACCCAGACGCCCCCCAGTACATATTTTTGAAATGAATAAATTAGTAAGTCTTTAGAAATGGAGAGTGAAGAAGTTGAGGCATGTATATATGTATGAAGACCAACTGGTCTACTTTGCCTGTAACCAAAATGTTTTCTGGGATGTAATACTTTAATACTATACTAATACTAATAAAACCAGGAAAGTCTTGAGAAACTGTGATTTGTTGTTTATACTACGTGCAGGTATGTGAATATTACTTTCCTCTCTGATGCTATTTTAGGAAAGTCCTTTGAGGCTGGTTTTCCTTGTTATGTATCATCAACCTGAGGAAGAATTTTTGTAGACGAGGCTTCTACTGGGGTATTGGGTCATAGCTCCTGATTATACTGGGAGTGAGATGAGAATGTTGTATACACCAGAAAACCAAAAGTCTCCAGCAACTGAATGTCAAACATTTACTGCTTACTTTCTCCCACAGTGGTGCCAAGAAGAGTTATTTGTAATAAACATGAAAAAGCATTTTTTAATACTCTTTGCCCAAAGGATGACAGAGAGTGTTTTCTTCATTTCCTAAGAGACAAGGTCGTCAGGCTTAGCTCTTCATTATAATTCTCCTAAGAAGGAAGGTGCAAACATGATTTTGTGTTAGAAGGTGCAAGATGTGTACACAGAAAAGTACAAAATATTGTCAAGAGAAGCCCAAGAAGAGAAAGGTTTTGTAAACCTGAACATACAAATGCTAGCTACAATTCACATTGCCAGAATCTCTCCTCTGCTTTCTGTGATTCTCTAGTGAGGTTTTGCAGTGTTTGTGTATTTGGAAATACTAGGAATGACTGCAGACTTTGAAAAGTCTCCAATCCAACTTAATACTTATTTTACTTTCCTTTTATGACTATATATACACGTATTTATTGTTCATCATATACAGGGATGGCATGGAATGACTAGGGATAAAGGATGTGCGGTGACTGCGCAGCTTGTGCATCAGTGCTACAGATCATTATTCCTGATTACTTGGTTGATCACAGCATTGTTCTCTGCTCAAGAGTATTTTGTATCTTGTCCCTAAATACAATTAAAAAGGGGTTGCACTCATGTCACACAAAGTGGGTGCTCTACAATTGTGGAGAAAGAGGACAGTCATATGCAAGGGTCAACGAGAGCATAGAAAGTGAGTGAAAGTATAGGAAGACCTCCTTTCAAGACAGGGAAGTGCCTTCAGGTGAGTTCAGGTGAAAACCAAGGGTGAGCCATTCTAGGGCATCAACTGCTATATACCCAGGTTGTTCAATGAGATAGGTACGAGCTTCTCAAGAGGGCTGGTTAGTGAAGTGCTCTGGGAGCACTGCATAATCTTACCACGCTGTGTTTGGAGGCATCAGACATGGTCCCACTTGAGAGAGTATACTTCTCAGACTCGGCTTTGGTTTTCCTGACCCCTTTGAACCATTTCTTGTATTGTTCCCGGACCTGCAGAGGCAAAGCATGCTTGGGTCAGCTCACTGAAGGGAGTAAGGGTGGTAGGAGGACCGGGTGGAAGTCAGGCAGTGGTACCTGTTGGCTGAGGAGGCAGTACACCAGGAAGATGAAGACGCCCTGCAGGCTGTTGATGATGGTGAAGAGGTAAGCCATGACATGGGCAGCTGGACCCACCTGCAGGATGCCCAGGCACCATGTGCAGCCCAAGATGAGCAGCTGAGCTGTGGCTTTAAATGTCAGCATCCTGGGTAGGAGGAGAAAGGAGGTCATGATGCACCCAGAGCAACACAATCAGGGTTGGTTTCATGTCCACTCCATGGATGCTTCTGACTGAGTTGTGATCAACTTTGATCTTTATTGTCAATGATTCCCTAAAGAGAAACACTGTTTGGGTCCAGGATGGCATTTTGACTAGGACTGAGGATAATGGTGACACTTGAGAATGTGAGTTTCAAAAAGATCATGATGTTTCATGAAGATCCCGAATTTGTTCAGCTGACATTACTGAGAATGTTCTGTGCACCGGGCTCTAGGCTGGGGCTAGGGCATTCAAAACAACAAAGACAAGACTTCTGTTTTTACAGACCTTAAAGTCTAGTGGAAAGACAAGAACAAAATGATCACTTATAACATTTGCGAAGTGAGGTACTTCTTTTCATCCAGGGCTGTTCCTTTCCTCACCCTCTCCATGAACTGAACCAGGCATGCTTTGCCCAGAATAGAGGCCATTAATTCTGTGCAAAGTTGAGGAAAGCAGAGGACATCCCCAAACTCTTAGATGATGTGATATGTGGATGTTGAAGCTGAGTTCCCCAGGTGCAAGGGAAGGGGAAGGCAGAGGGCAGAGCATGCATGAAGGCATGGGCATGATGGGGTATGCTGGTTCTGGAAACTGTTGTGTGATTTCCTGCGTGTGTTATAAGTATGTGAATGTTCTCAGGACCTTTTTCATAGGACCATGGTAGCAATCCCTGCTTATCAGAATGAAGCCCATTCTCTCTGCAGCTGAAGCAGTTTGTTGTTGGGGTTGTTCATGGGTGGAATGTTTTTGGCATGGGTGTCAGCAGCAAACCACAGAATCTGATCTGGCTGCCAAGGAGGGTGGCTGCACCTCTCTCTTCCAGGCCCCACAGGAGCACCGTGAAGGGACACTAGAGCCTTGGAGGTGTGAGGATAATGTTCTGTGTAGGGGGTGGTGTGCACCTGTGACCCATCCTCACCTTGTGTTCTGGAGGGAGGACACATCTCTGTTGATGGAAGAGAGCTTGGTTTTCACAATCCAGAAGGTCATCAGAAAGAAAGCCAAATTAATCTGCAGAAAACCCACAGGTATATTAACTACACTCCACATCTGGAAAACCTTCGTCCTAGCTCATCCAGCTCCTAATCTGGCAGGGAAGAAGCTTTTGTGTTTTGTAACAGTCCTAGAAAAGCAAACCAAACACCCAGTAACTCAGGCCCATGTTTGCCCTGTAACATCGGTAACCACTTCAATTCAGTGCATGGGAATTACAAATGTTAGCACTGAAAGTGCCACATCTCAGGAAACACCTTAGTCTTGGTTTTACAATGGGAATTCCCACCTCCTGGGAGCCCCTCATCAGTCCTGGGCCAACTGGAATGACTGCTCACCCTGCCTGTCACCCTCCTGATACACCTGATCTTTGAATAACACTCAGCTGGGCAGGTGGGTTGCTCTGATGTCATCCATTACTCACGGAGAAAATTGTGCAGATAGGGCCAAGGAAGGTCCATATGAATCCTTTGTCTGTGTGGAGCCAGCATCTTAGAGAGAGATGGGAAGAGATTCAAGAAAATATTGGCTTTCATAGACAAAGGACTGATAAATAAACATACCCCTCCCCTCCTAATGTTTCCTTCTGCCTTCATCATTATTATCATTTTTTTTGTTAAAACATTTAACATACCCTCCTAGTAAATCTTAAGTATAGAATACACTATTGTTAGCTATATGCACTATGTAATATAGATCTCCTAAACTTATTTATTTTGCAGAACTACAACATTGTATATGCCTTTGATGGTGGCAGTGGTTTCATGGGTATTAGCCCCAAACTCATCAGGTTTTGTACATTAATTACATATGGTATTTTACATGTCGATCACACCTTACTCAAGTGGTCTTTAAAAAAAGATAAGTTCCTTTCAAAAGCTCTTCTATGTCTTGGCCCCCAGATATGCTGGCAGAAATAAATATAACTTTTAAAAAGAAAATAACAGTATTGATCAGTAAATTAATTTATGGGTTTTTTTGGATAAGTATTGAGTGTCTCCTCTGTGTCAGGATCTGTGCTTGGCTCTGAAGACCCAGTTGGGATTAGGGTAGAGTGGTCTCTGTCCTCAGGGAGACACAGATGAAGTTGGTGGATCAACAATTAGACAATAGACAAAGTCAAGATGATGAATTTTATGACCAAGTATGAGGAGCTTTGAGGATATGTAGCTGGATCCATAACCTAATCCAGGGTATAGGAGATCCAGATAATTGGGAAGGGTTTCCCTGAAAGAACTGAATTGTGTTTAAGCTGAAATAATGAGTGATGAGTGGGTGTAGACAGGTGAAAGTTTTGGACCATCGAAGAAGTGAGTGAAAAAACCCAAATGAAACAAAACAGTGAGCCTGCCCCAGCAGTAAGGCTCACGTGCATTACATAACTTATTCCTCATGAGGACACAGGTATTCACACACTCATAGGTCAGGCATCTCAAGGCCGTACTGAGAGCAATGACAGAGATGGACTTTATCTCCAGGGAGGGGAGCTGTGAGTGAGGTGGGAGGTGTGAGGACTGGGGAGAAGGTCAGAAGGACCCAGCAGGAAGCATCAAAGGGAAACTTCGAAGGTAGGCATTGGCAAAGCAGGAGGCTGCCGCCTGCTCTTATAAGTGGGTTTTACTGGAACACACACTCATTCCCTCCCAAATTGTCTGTGGCTCTGTTTGTGCTCTGAGGACAGAGCTGAGTAGTTGTGGCAGAGACCATAAGACCAAGAAAGTTGGAAATATTGATTATCTGGCCCTTTATGGAAAAAGTTCATTGACCTTTATGCTCAACTCCTTAGGGAGGCCAGCTGGCCAGGGCTCCCTGTTGCAGCTGAGTAACTCATGTCATCAGGATAGGCGTATGGTGTGAGCGCCAGACTGGAAGTGACCCCCGCTCCGCCACCAACCAGCTGTGTGATCTTGGCCATGTTAGTTAATCTCCTTGTGCCTCAGTTACTCATCTGTAATATGGCTTATTACTAGTTTCTACTGCACAGGTTGTTGGGGGGATGATTTGAGCTGACACGTGAAAAATATTTAGAACAGTGATTGTACATCAGAAGTGATTTCTAAATCTTAGCTGTGGTTACAGTTATTTTGTCATCCAAATGACCCTTTGTTTCTTTTAAAATTAGGATAGAGAAAGAGTTTATACAAATTAATGCCATCTATTCATTTCAGTTTTGCTTTCTGGAAGATTTAAAACTGTCCCCTCGGGGCGCCTGGGTGGCTCAGTCGTTAGGCATCTGCCTTCAGCTCAGGTCATGATCCCAGAGTCCTGGGATCGAGCCCTGCATCGGGCTCCCTGCTCCACGGGAAGCCTGCTTCTCCCTCTACCAGTCCCTCTGCTTGTGTTCCCTCTCTCGCTGTGTCTCTCTCTGACAAATAAATAAAATCTTAAAAAAAAAATTAAAAAAAACAAAAAAACAAAAAAAAAACCTGTCCCCTCAATTGATGCAATGAATACTATATTAATATATATTTGCTAATACATATGATGCTATTTATATTATGGACTATAGTCACTAATACAATATAGTTATTAACATAATATACACTTAATATTTAAAATAATTAAATCTAAAATATTAAGAAGTAACCTCATTTATCTTAACTAGATTAATTTGTAATTATTAAACATCAATATTAGTGTATAGTTATTAACATAATGCACTTTATTATTTAAATAGATAATTATTAACATACATTATAATTAACATTTAAAAAACCCACAGCGAATATCATCCTCAATGGGGAAAAGCGGAGAGCCTTTCCCTTAAGATCAGGAACACGTCAAGGATGCCCATCCTCACCACTGTTGTTCAACATAGTACTAGAAGCCCTAGCAACAGCAATCAGACACAAAAAGAAATAAAAGGTATTCAAATTGGCAAAGAAGTCAAACTCTCTCTTTTTGCAGATGACATGATACTCTATGTGGAAAACCCAAAAGACTCCACCCCCAAATTACTAGAACTCATCCAGCAATTCAGTAATGTGGCAGGATACAAAATCAATGTACAGCAATCAGTTGCTTTCCTATACACTAGCAATGTAACTGTAGAAAGAGAAATTAAAGAAACGATTCCATTTACAATAGCACCAAAAACCATAAGATACCTGGGAATAAACCTAATCAAAGAGGTAAAGGATCTATACTCTAGGAACTACAAAACACTCATGAAAGAAATTGAAGACACAAAAAGATGGGAAAATATTCCATGCTCATGGATCGGAAGAATAAAAATTGTTAAAATGTCTATGCTACCCAGAGCAATCTATACCTTCAGTGCCATCCCGATCAAAATTCCAATGACATCTTTCAAAGTGCTGGAACAAACAATCCTAAAATTTGTATGGAATCAGAAAAGACCCCAAATCGCCAAGGAAATATTGAAAAAGAAAAACAAAGCTGGGGGCATCACGTTGCCCGATTTCAAGCTATATTACAAAGCTGTGATCACCAAGACAGTACGGTACTGGCACAAAAACAGACATATAGACCAATGAAACAGAATAGAGAACCCAGATATGGACCCTCAACTCTATGGTCAAATAATCTTTGACAGAGCAGGAAAAAACATGCAATGGAAAAAAGACAGTATCTTCAATAAATGGTGCTGGGAAAATTGGACAGCCACATGCAGAAGAATGAAACTCGACCATTCTCTAACACCATTCACAAAGATAAACTCAAAGTGGATGAAAGACCTCAATGTGAGACAGGAATCCATCCAAATCCTAGAGGAGAACATAGGCAGTAACCTCTTGGACATCGGCCACAGCAACTTCTTTCAAGATACATCTCCAAAAGCTAGTGAAACAAAAGCAAAAATGAACTTTTGGGACTTCATCAAGAGAAAAAGCTTCTGCACAGCAAAGGAAACAGTCAACAAAACAAAGAGGCAACCCACAGAATGGGAGATGATATTTGCAAGTGACACTACAGATAAAGGGCTGGTATCCAAAATCTATAAAGAACTTCTCAAACCCAACACCCAAAAAACAAATAATCAAGTCAAAAAGTGGGCAGAAGAGATGAACAGACACTTCTCTGAAGAAGACATACAAATGGCTAACAGACACATGAAAAAATGTTCATCATCATTAGCCATCAGGAAAATCCAAATCAAAACCACACTGAGATACCACCTTACACCAGTTAGAACAGCAAAAATGGACAGGGAAAGAAACAACAAATGTTGGAGAGGTTGTGGAGAAAGGGGAACCGTCTTACACTGTTGGTGGGAATGCAAGTTGGTACAGCCACTTTGGAAAACAGTGTGGAGGTTCCTCAAAAATTTAAAAATAGAGCTACCCTATGACCCAGCAATTGCACTGCTGGGTATTTACCCCAAAGACACAGATGTAGTGAAAAGAAGGGCCATATGCACCCCAATGTTCAGAGCAGCAATGTCCACAATAGCCAAACTGTGGAAAGAGCCGAGATGCCCTTCAACAGATGAATGGATAAAGAAGATGTGGTCCATTTATACAATGGAATATTACTCAGCCATCAGAGAGGATGAATACCCAACTTTTGAATCAACATGGATGGGACTGGAGGAGATTATGCTAAGTGAAATAAGTCAAGCAGAGAAAGTCAATTATCATAGGGTTTCACTTATTTGTGGAACATAAGGAATAACATGGAAGACATTAGGAGAAGGAAGGGAAAAATGGTGGGGGGAGGAATTGGAGGGAGAGATGAACCATGAGAGACTATGGACCTGAGAAACAAACAGGGTTTTAGAGGCGAGGGGGGAGGGGGGATTGGTTGGCCCGGTGATGGGTATTAAGGAGGGCACGTATGGCATGGAGCACTGGGTGTTATACAAAAACAATGGATCGTGGATCACTACATCAAGAACTAATGATGTATTGTATGGTTAAAAAAAACCCAATTATATCTTAATGACTTAAAAACAATTACTTCAATGAATACAATCTTCCACCGGGTAGATGTCCTTGGAGTGGTCACTGACCTTTTCTCTGTCTATCTGATCTGGTGGAATTAAATAACTATTGGTTCTATGATGGCCATAGTCATGCTGGAGAAGATAAGGACAGTGGGAAATTGCATTTACCGGGTGGGTGTTCCATAAAGGTGAGGCCTGGATGCAGCAGAAATGGCCACAATTATAGCTGGGACTCCATAGCCCACGGGGAACATGAGCTTCTTCATGACCCTGCTCACACTGGAGTAGTTGACCACCGTCAGGTTGCGTGCAGTGAGGAAGAGATTCAGACCCTCCAGCAGCATCCAGGTGAAGGACTCCAGGTAGAGATAGTGTAGGGCACCCGCAATGATGGCACACAGCACCTGGGGGAGGAGAAAGGTGTCACCAGGAGGGATTGTCAGGGAGGAGGGTGGCCCCAGGACCTTTCCCATACTTTGCCATTGAAGAGAACTCTCATGTATATGGTCGAGTTGTCAGGAGAGGGTTTGTCTCCTAATGTCTTCCATTCATTAGTCAATGTGAAATAGGCTACCTATCCCTCCAACCTCCCTGGACCCGAGGCCATTTCATTAAGGTATCAGTGCAGCATGGCTCCATGAACTGAGCACCCCTGGGACAGGGCATGGGCTCCTCTGTGGCAGTGTCAGTACCTTGATCTCGGTCTGGTTGATGGCTGTGAGGAAGAGCAGGTGGGCCAGGAAGAGGCAGATTGAGAGCTGCAGGTGGATCGAGGTGCTGGCGTTCTGGATGGTTTTGCACAGCAGGAAGGTGAGGGCTGCCAGGAGGAGGCACAGGAGAGAGAGGCCCAGCCCCAAATAGGTGATCACAGCCAGCATGGGATCCTCCTCCTGGGATCCAGCAAAAAGAAGCAAAAAGGACATCAGAGTCACATTTTCCTACTCTGGGGTAATTTAAAAATCTTCTATTTAAAAAATTTTTATTTTATTTTTATTTTTGCTGTAGCCAAATCGGGAAAGAAGGATGCAGGTAAATTTGTTATGTTATTTGGGAAATTCCTCCAGGTTCAGAATGCTAGAATGGAAATCTGAACTGATTAACCCAGACCTTGGAAGAATTGAGGGGTAAGAGAGTCCTTACTTAAGACAGAGCCCAGGAACTCACAAGGGTTTATTTTACTTTACAAATCACCTAAGTAAGTCTTTGATGTGGTGATCCAGAGGAAGTAACCAGCTCACCTAGCCAGTGGAACAGGCAAACATAGTTCTTAACCCACCTGTACTCACTGGCTTTCTTGGCCCCTTTGACCTCTGCCACCACCAAATCTTCCTTTCTATAGTCCCTGAGAGCCACTTTCTACAGCCTTCCTGTCCTGAAGACCCCTGTGTTAAGCAGAAATCTAATTTGTCAATAATAGGTGTACACACACTTTCTTCTGGATTCTCAGTTAAATGCCATTTTAGGTGCTGCTCTGAAGGGATTTTGCAGATGGAATTCAGATCCTAGTCTTTAAGAGAGGGAGTCTGTTGTGGGTGGGCCTGGCCTAATCAAGTTAGCTTTAAAAGCTCTGGGCTCTTGGAGAAAATGGTTCAAAGTGTGAGAGCGTTTGCAGTGAGGGAGCTCCTCCGGCTGGCCTCTGGATAGAAATGCTGACACACTGTGTGAGGGCTGCTAGAGAAGGAATGCAGGCAGCCCCTAGTTCGCTGAGCAAGGTTCCCTTCTCACAGCTAGCTAGAAAGTGGAACCCCAGTCCTATGACTGCAAGGAAATGAATCCTGCCAGCAACCAGGGAGCTCACAGGAGGAAACTGAGCTGCAGAAGAGAATGCAGATCTGGCTGATTTCAGGCTTGTAAGACCCAGAACAGCAACTCAGCACCACCATACCCGAGCTGACCCAAAGAAACCACAAGATATAAATTTCTGTTTTTTTTTTTAAAGCCCCTACATGTGGGGAAATATATTACAGAGCAATAAGCATGGAATCCAGCCTTTCACAGGGCTCTCACCTGCACATTGTAGTGGGCCATGAGGACTGCAAAGCTGCTGAGGTGGGTGCACTGGCAGGTGGTGCTGGTGTCTCCAGTGGCCACCATCCTGCAGCCTGTGGTGGACCAATGACCATATCCATCCGGAGTGTGATCCCAGAAGACGCAGAACACCTTTTGCATTGGCCCACGGGTCACTGACTGTAGAAACAGAGTGTAGGTGGAAGCTGGCTGTTCCAGTGCTCAGAAATGCTTATCCAAAGCTGGCTTGCAAAAGGCTTTCTTTGGGGAATGATGCAGCCATGGGGAAGCCCCCAAGAACCTCAATCAAGACTGAGCTGAGCAGCAAGGCTGTGCCCAAGACCCAGGCTCCTTCCACACCCACAGTCCCATCTCACCAGCACTCACATGGTGGGAAAAGATGAAGGTGATAGGGGAGCTGAGGTTCTGGGTGTCCCTGTTGCTCATAAAGGCAGAGATGACGTGTGAGAGCAGGACAGAGGAGACTCCTCGCAGCACGCCCTTGTGTGCCCCATGCAGAACTGCCTGCATCTCAGCCTCCAGGACCAGGCGGGCCTCAGCCAGCAACTTGCCCATCCCCGGTGTGGAGACAAGGCCCACCACAGAAGGACCTGCAGGAAGAGGTCAATGTTGATACCTTGGGGTTCCTACAGGGCCCCTTCCTCGTCAGAGAGACTCTTTGTGGCTCCACTAAACCCCCCCTTTCCCTTTAATCTTCAGTTCCCCATTTGTCACATCCTTGGGCATCTTGTGACCTTCCTCCCATCTCAGCCAGTACCTGAGTCATCAGATTCGTGCACCACATCCCAGTTCAGCAGCATCTTCACCTGACTCTGACTCAAGATGACATTTCTATCTCCTTGCTCCCGCACCTTCAGGGACAGGTCTATAAGATGTCAGAGTTGTATAAGGGAGTTAGATTAGTATTTGTGGCTGTAGTGGTTGGTATAATACCATTTTATGTGTGTATATATGATGTATGTATAAAAATATTTTATACATTACTTAAATCTATAATATAATACTTTATATATAATATAAATTTATACAAAAGCCATATATAATATATAATATGATACTGAATATTATATATTATATAATTTATAGAATGCACACATAATATAATATATGCATATAACATATGCATATTCTAGATCTATATATTATATATTAATAATAGTATTGTTTGGCACACATAATAACAATATTGCACATATTTGGTATACATAATAATTTTATATATGTATATAATTTGAATTTATCAAGGGTTATAAGAGAATATTACAAGCAATTATTCAACAGTAGGTTAGATGAAATGAGGAAATTCCTAAACAGTCACAAACTACTGAAACTGACTTTTTTAAAAATTAAGTTCAATTAGCCAATATATAGTAAATCATTAGTAAAGCTGACTTTAGAAGAAACAGAAAATCAGGACAGACTTGCAATAGGTAAAGACATTGAATCGTTTATCAAAAGCTTCCCCAAACGAAAAGCCCACACCAGATGGAGTTGTTGTTGAATTCTATCATCCATTTAAAAGACTAATCCTTTGTAAACTTCTCCATTAAATAAAATAAAATAATGTAAAATAATATAGAAAGGAATACTACCTAAATAATTCTATGAGGCCACCATTACCCTGTAAACAAAACCAGATAAAGATTTCACAAGAAAAAAAAAAACAAAACTATAGACCAATCTCTTATGAACATAGATGTCAAAATAGTCAATAAAATATAAGGAATAATTTTATCCAAGGATGCTCAAGACTTGTACACAGAAAACTGTATTCATGGATGGGAGAATCAATATTGTTATGATGGCAATGGTCCCTGCAGAGATGTACAGATTCAGTGCAATCCTTATCAGGATTCCAAAGCAATTTTAGTTATTTAATTTTTTGCAGAAATGGAAAAGCTCATCCTAAAATCCACAGGGCATTGCATATACCCAAATAATATCTTGAAGATGAAAAAAAATTGGAGTACTTAACTTCCTAATTTCAAAACTGACTACCAACCTACAGTAATCAGAACAGGAGGGCACTGGCATAAGGATAGTCCTACAGATCAGTAAGATAGAATTGAAAGTCCAGAAACAAGCCCATACATCTATGGTTAATTAATTTCCAACAACTGGTGTCAAAACCTTTCAGTGGAAAAAGAAAAGTCTAACAAATGGTCCTGGCACATCTGGCTATCCACACACAAAAGAAGGAAGCTGGAACCCTACCTCACACAACACACAAAAATTATTTCAAAATGGGTCAAAGACCTACATTAAAATTTTTTTAAATTTATTTTATTTTTTAATTTAAATTCAATTAATTAACATATAGTGTATTATTAGTTTCAGAAGTAGAATTTAGTAATTCATCAGTTGCATGTAACACCTAGTGCTCATTACATCAAGTGCCCTCCTTAATGCCCATCACCCAGTTAGCTCATTCTCCCACCCACACCCCTCCAGCAAGCCTCAGTTTGTTTAAGAGTCTCTTATGGTTTGTTTCCCTTTCTGATTTCATCTTATTTTATCTTTCCTACCCTTCCCCTAAGTTCATCTATTTTGTTTCTTAAATTCCACATATGAGTGAAATCATAAGATATTTGTCTTTCTCTGACTGACTTATTCCACTTAGCATAATACCCTCTAGTTCCAACCACATTTGTTGCAAATGGAAAGATTTTTTTCATTTTAACTTATCAAACTCAACACCCAAAGAACAAATAATCCAATCAAGAAATGGGCAGAAGACATGAACAGGTATTTCTCCAAAGAAGACATCCAAATGGCCAACAGACATATGAAAAAATGCTCAACATCACTCAGCAACAGGGAAATACAAATCAAAACACAATGAGATATCACCTCACATCAGTCAGAATGGCTAAAATTAACAAGTCAGGGAATGACAGATGTTGGCAAGGATGCAGAGAAAGGGGAACCCTCCTACACTGTTGGTGGGAATGGAATCTGGTGCAGCCACTCTGGAAAACAGTATGGAGGTTCCTCAAAAAGTTGAAAATAGAGCTACCCTCCAACCCAGCAATTGCACTACTGGGTACCCCAAAGATATAAATGTAGTGATCCAAAGAGGCACCTGCACCCCAATATTTATAGCAGCAATGTCCACAATAGCCAAACTATGGAAAGAGCCAAGATGCAAAATGTCCATCACAGATGAATGGATAAAGAAGATGTGATTGATATATATATAATGGAATATTACACAACCATCAAAAATGAAATCTTTCCATTTGCAATGATGTGGATGTAACTAGAGGGTATTATGCTAAGCAAAATAAGTCAATCAGAGAAAGACAAGTATCATATGATCTCACTGATATGTGGAATTTAAGAAATACAATAGAGGATCATAGGGGAAGAGGAAAAAATACAACAAAATGAAACCAGAGAGGAAGACAAGCCATAAGAGACTGTTAATCAGAGGAAACAAACTAAGGGTTGCTGGAGGGGACAAGGGTGGAGAGATGGGGTAACTGGGTGATGGATATTAAGGAGGGCATGTGATATAATGAGCACTGGGTATTATATAAGACTGATGAATCACAGACTTGTACCTCTGAAACCAATAAATACATTATATGTTAATTAAAATAAAAGTAAATAAATAAAAAAATGATTTCATTCTTTTTGATGGCTGGGTAATATTCCATTGTATATATACACCACATCTTATTTATCCATTCATATGAAAGACCTACAATTATGAGGTGAAACTAGAACTAGAACTAGTTAGGAAGGAGGAACACAGGTGTAAATCTTCATGACCTTGGGTTTGTCAATGGATTCCTAGATATGACACCAAATGCCCACAAAACAAAAGAAAAAACGGAGAAAATGGATTTCATCACTTTAATGTTCATTAAAGTGAAAAGACCACAGAGAAAATGCAAAGACAATCTATGGAATGGGAGAAAAAATTAGCGAATCACATGTCTCATAAAATCTACTATTAGAATATATGAAGAACTCTTACAGCTCAACAACCATAAGCCAAACAATGAATTAAAAAATAGGCAAAGGACTTGCATAGACATTTCTCCAAAAAAGTTACACACATGTTCAACAATTACACAAAATGATGGGAAACATGATTAATCATCAGGGAAATGCAAATCAAAATCACCATGAGATATCCCCTGACATACACTGAAAAGACTACCAGGAAACAAAACAAAAGGAAAATAGCAAGTGTTGCTGAGGGTGTAAAAATTGGAGCCTATTGCTGGTGTGGATGGAAAATGAAAAAAATCACCTCTTTGGAAAATAATTTGGTAGTTCTCAAAAAATTGAACATAGAATTACCATATGGGCGCCTGGGTGGCTCAGTTGGTTAAGCGACTGCCTTTGGCTCAGGTCATGATCCTGGAGTCCCGGGATCGAGTCCCATATCGGGCTCCCTGCTCAGCAGGGGGTCTGCTTCTCCCTCTGCCCTCTTCCCTCTCGTGCTCTCTGTCTCTCATTCTCTCTCTCTCAAATAAATAAAAAAAAAAAAAAAAAAAAAAAAAGAATTACCATATAACTCAAACTCCAATCCTAATTGTGTATCCCAAAGAACTGAAAACAGTTATTAAAACAAAAACATGTGAACCAATATTCATAGTAGTACTATTCACAATGGTCAAAAGGAGGTAACAAACCAAATGTCCATCAGTTGATGAAGGGCTGAACAAAAGGTGTTGTATTCATATACAATGGAATATTATTCAGCCATAAAAATAATGAAACACTGATAGATGCTACAACATGGATGAGCCTTGAAAACATTATGCTAAGTGAAAGAAGCCACACTATAAAGCAACATAGTGTATGAGTCTCTCTATATGAAATGTCCAGAATAAGCACATCCATAGATAGTGAAAACAGACCAGTGGTGTCCAGGGGCTGGGGGAGGGGAGGAATGAGAAGTGACTCCTGAGGGGGGTACAGTATTTACTTCAGGGGTGATGAAAATATTTTATAAATAGAGGCAATGATTACAACTCCGTGAATATACTAAATGCCACTGAATTAGGGCGCCTGAACTGGGTGGCCCAGTTGGTTGAGCATTGGATTCTTGGTTTTGGCTCAGGTCATGATCTCAGGGTCATGGGATCGAGCCCCACGTCAGGCTCGTGCTCAGTGGGGAGTTTGAGGTTTCTCTCTCCCTCTCCCTCTGACCCTCCCCTCTGCTCTTACTCTCTCTCTTTCTTTTTTTTTTTTTAAGATTTTATTTATTTTTATTAGAGAGAGAATGAGAGAGAGGGAGTACATGAGAGGGGGGAGGGTCAGAGGGAGAAGCAGACTCCCTGCCCAGCAGGGAGCCTGATGCGGGACTCGATCCAGGGACTCCAGGATCATGACCTGAGCCGAAGGCAGTCGCTTAACCGACTGAGCCACCCAGGCGCCCCTCTCTTTCTAAAATAAATAAATAAATCCTAAAAAAATAAATGCCACTGAATTGTACACTTTGTTTAAAACGGTGAATTTTATGGTATGTGAATTTTACTTCAAATAAAACAAATGAAACACTTAAATATCAGATAATATCAAATTCATATTATTCCAAATTAAATAAATTGTTTTCTTGGGAAGCCATTTCTATTTTAGCTTAAATTCTTCATTATCATTAATTCATCTGCTCATAATTTATTTCATATTAACATGTATATTATTTATAGTTTTATTCATTTATTTTTTATTGAGGTATAATCGACATTAATTTCAGGTGTACAACATAATGATTTATTATTTGTATATATTGCAAGATGATCACCACAGGAAGTCTAGTTAACATGTGGCACCATACACAGTTACAAAATTTTTTTCCTGAGATGAGAACTTACAAGATTTACTCTTGTAGCAACTTTGAGATATGTAACATAGTATTATTAACTATAGTCACATGGTACCTTACATCCTATGACTTATTTATTTTATATCTTCTGACCCCCCTTCGCCCATTTAGCCTACTGCCCCACCCCCACATGTCTCACCAGCACCCCTCTCACCCACCCATGGCAACCACCAGTCTGTATCTATGAGCTTGTGTGTGTGTTTATTTATTTATTTTTAAGATTCCACATATAAGTGAGATCACCTGGAATTTGTCCTTCTATGATTTATTTTACTTAGCATAATTTATTTATTTCTTTTTAAGCACTTATTTTAATTTGTTTATACATGTAACACTGAGATACAAGCATGGTCACTCTGCTCCAGTGAGGCTGGGGGACAAAGGAGGTGGGGACAAAGGAGGTGGGAACAGGCAGAGCAGAGCCTGGGGCAGACCCCAGTACTTACCTGTGCCTGCAGATGCGTTGAAGGTCAATGTCCCATTGGGCAGGGCCTGGCTCAGATTTCTCAGGACATCCTCCAGACCAACAAGCAGGTTAGTGGCCACACAGTGCTGCTCTGAGCGGGGCAGGGCCTCCAGGTCCTCAGGGGTCTCCAGCAGCTCATCCACACCCTGTACAAGGTCCTGGGGGATGGGGACACAGACGTAGTGCATGATGGGCCTGACAGACTGCATGAAGATGCTGTCCACTTAGCCTCAGAATAAAGATCCTAGAGACTGTCATCTGTTTGGGATTTCCTGGGATTGCCCTGGAATCCAGCCACTCATGGTTAATGCTGTTCATGAATGCCAAGGATGACATAAACCCAATTTCCAGGAACAGTAAGATGAAAGGTTGTTAGTAGGTACAGGTGGGTTTCTAACAGTGAGTACAATACCTGGATGTCTGCTCTTCTCACCCACCCTGGGAGAGGCAGGGCCACAGGGAGGCCACCACTGTGTTGGGAATGCCTCTTTCCACACCAAGGCTTTCCTGGACCTTCATGGGATGCCTCCAACTTGTCTCCACTGGATTCTGACCTTACCTGGATAGTGTCCTGGACAAAGGCTGGTATGAACTTTCTGCCCAGATCTTGGACTCTTTCAAAGAAGTGGGAGAGTCTCTAGGGAGAGGGGAGATGAGGAAGTCAGAGAGCCTCAATGTGGGTGCAGAAGCTTGGGGAAAATGGCGGCCATGAACGGTGGGGAGCCCATGCTTTGAGGAAGGATTTCCTGTCTCCTGGTCCCAGCTGGGGCCACTCACCTGGCTCTTGATTCCATGGGGTGGGGTCCAGGTGGGAAAAACAATGCCTGCAGGGGATAACAGTAGTTGATTAGGTGTAAGAGCATCTGTGTGTGGGATGGGGGAAGGGGCCTGGGGTCAGGTCAGGGCCAGGTACCTTCTCAGGTGGTCATTTGGTTATTCAGGGACCCTAGTATGGGCATAGAAGCATCAGGAAGGCCCCACTCTCTCCTCCCTGGTGAGTGGGTGTCTTTTCTTATTCATACAGAGGTGTGTTATGGGTGAATGTGGTGGCCCAGATGCTCAGCTGTCCAGATATGGATGGAATTGGCCTGAATCCTCCTGTTTTCAGCTCCAGTGCTCTTAGCTTCCCTGGGCAGCTTTCAGCCAGGGTGGGAACATCATGGTCATCTGTATCCCAGCTTGAGCATTTGGACAAAGACCAGAATGGGTCTTCTAGGGAACCATGTGCAGGGAATATGCCAGATTTCCCAACCAGGATCCTGTCTGGCTCCCAGTGATGGCTTTTGTTTTAATTCCCTCAGGGCAACTGCTCACTTGCTGGTCTCCGATGATATCTTCCATTGCTATCTGGTCTAGACAGGAGCTGCTTCTCATCACCCAATTCTCCGTGTGTGTATGCGGGTGGGTCCGTGTTACTCTGTGTAGACACCACACAACATCCTCCTGGGTCCTGGTCATCTGGTCTGCTCTCAGGACTGTGAACTGAAATTATTGGGGAGAGTCAGGGTAAGCTTTGTTCAGAGAAATAGACAGAGGCCCAGCAGCTGAGAAGAGGGGTCTGGATGCTGAAATTGTTGGCCAGGGAGAGTGCAGGCCCAGGAAAGGGGGATGGCCCTCCCATCTTCCCACTGCAGTGTTTCTGGATGGGGTCCCTGGGTCCAACATGGCCCAAGAGATCTGAGAGTTTTCCTAGCATGGCCAAGCCCAAGTAGGCTCTGGTGGGGAAAGGTCTCATCCTGGCCATCACTGATGATGGTGAAGAGGAGGGATTTTGCACTAGAAACAGTGTGCTGTGGAGCTCCTGAAATATCTTGAGTGCCACTTTTTTTTTTTTTCACAAAAATAAAATGCCAGGGAGCAAGGGGGATTTTTGAACTTTCAGAAGTGACCTTCTACAGAGGGTTCTGAGCCTTGGAGTTCAAAGAGATATGGGTGCCTGGGTAGGTGCTGAGGATGTTCTCTGATGCCTGGAGAAAGTGAGCTAAGTGACTCCAAACCTTGTGGGCGAGGAGATGGAAGTCACAAGTCAATTCTTACCTTGACACATGTTCTCACTCTCATTCCTGAACGTTTTTGCCCCAGAAGCAAGCTTGTATCCTGGGCTGCATGTACAGTAGTAGCTGCCCTCTGTGTTCCAGCAGTCTGCGAATTTTCCACAGGACACTGCCGAGGGTGGTCCACATTCATTGATGTCTGGAACACAACAGGGCAAAGGGTCACCTCCCAAAGATGTGAGTTCCCATAGGGCAGAGGCGCTGGCCTCCAGCCTGACTCGGCCAACAGGACTGGAGAGAACTCAGCTTGCAGGTGGCATTCCTGGGGCAGGTCTGAGCTGGAGCCAGCTGCTCAAATGCCTGCTCACTGTTCTGCATCTCTGCTCTCTGGCTGGGACTAAGGGCACCTAGATTCAGACACTTTGCTGTGCCATTGTGGGGGCTGGAAGGAGGTCTGCATCCCCTTCTGCAGGCCTTGTGGGGTGGACAGAGGCACTGAATTTCTGGTTGCACTACTAGGGACCTGGGGGTGGGCTCTAGTCAGGGTGACTGTGGCACTGAAGGCCACTCTCAATGCTGAGTCAGTGAAGGGAGTCATGGCTGGAGTCTGTCCAGAGTAACACTCTTTCACACCTGAGGATAAAGCCAGGTGATCAGGCCCCTGCCCATTGACAGGCTCCACCTCCCATTACTCACAGTGGCCCAAGTTCACCCCACAGTCTTCATCACCCGCTCCCCAAAGGTGCCCATGTCTGGCATTTTTAAGATGCCCAAAGATGTCTCTGTGGGAGTCCTACTATCTCCACTCCTGAAGGAAGTCCCCTCTTGTCAGAGATGTTGGGGATGTGAAATGAAGAAGCTACACGAAGTGTCTCACAGCTGAGTCATTGGGGATATTATCTGGCATCTTATCTCTCCTGGTTCTTTAAACATGAGAGGAAAGATGTCCATTAGCCAGGTCCTCTTTGAGCAGCTCAGGGACTCATAGAGCAGAGGCTGGACACTGTTGGCTAAAAATAACAACAATTTTATAAGAACCATGGACACAAGAATGAATCAAAATGCAGGGACAGAATATTTGGTCCTATGCATTCCAATACATTCAGAGTTTCTTCTCTGCACCTTGGACTTCCCTTCTAAGGCTCCAGGCTCAGGCTGTGGATGTCAACACCAGGACACAACCAGATGTGGGAAGATGCACATCTGACACATTCATGTTGTCCCCCATCTGGACAATGGGACTGCCCTCCTCTCTTCTCAGATGGTGGCAATGGCCTGTCTTCAAGGTTGTGGGATGGGGTGGAGTTGAGTGGGGGTCAGCTGAGAATGAGGTGCAAGGTGTGGAAGGCATGAGGACAGGAAACTCCTCAATCAGATAGATGTGCTCCCAGAAAGGAGCTGGGATCCAGTTATATTAGCAGTAGGATCTCCTTGCCATGTTCACCCAGCCACGAGTCTCCATGAGACACACATGCAAATGCACCAAAGCTGGCTAATAGTCACAACAACTTTTTTTTTCATCTGATAACATCTTTTCCCCAAGTACTAAATGACACATGGGTCTTAGAAAACAAAGAAAATGTGAAAAATGAGAACAAAGAAAATCAACTGTAAGTCCACTCTATATGGACTACTAGAGAAGATTTAGGATATTTTTTTCCTCAGCTTTTCAAACATACTAGGAACATTTTCCCTTTTTATTAATAAATATGCATCTAAGATGATTAGATGAAGAATATTTCTTGGTGTGAAAATTGTTTATTTCCCCTTTTCCCTACTAATTTTTTTATTGTGGTAAAATGCCCAAAATATAAAATTTACCATGTTAACCATACTTAAGTCATATAAATTTCTTTTATGATCCGGCATTGTTGAAGAATAAGAACTCTTTTGTTTTAGACCTTGGTCTAGGTTCTACATTATTAACTGTGACTTTGGATAAATCAATCTCTTTGATCCCAGTTATGATAATTAAAAAAAATGAGTCTATAAAATTCATAGAAAAAACCACAGGGGATAAGGTCTTTGAAATTGGTCTCAGCACAGATTTTTTGGATTTGACTCCAAAAAGCAAAGATAAATTCCAAAGACATTCTTCAAAGTGCTGGAACAAACAATCCTAAAATTTGTATGGAATCAAAAAAGGAAACATTGAAAAAGAAAAACAAAGTTGGGGGCATCACGTTGCCTAATTTCAAGCTACATTACAAAGCAAGGATTACCAAGACAGCATGGTACTGGCACAAAAACAGACATATAGACCAATGGAACAGAATAGAGAGCCCAGATATGGACCCCCAACTCTATGGTCAAATAATCTTCAACAAAGCAGGAAAAAATATGCAATGGAAAAGACAGTCTCTTCAACAAATGGTGCTGGGAAAATTGGACAGCCATAGGCAGAGAATGAAACTCGACCATTCTCTAAACACCACACACAAAGATAAACTCAAAATGGATGAGACCTCAATGTGAGACAGGAATCCATCAAAATCCTAGAGGAAAACATAGGCAATAACCTCTTTGGCATCGGCCACAGCAACTTCTTTCAAGATACATCTCCAAAGGCAGGTGAAAGAAAAGCAAATATGAACTTTTGGGACTTCATTTAGATAAAAAGCTTCTGCACAGATTACTAGCAAGATGGCAGAGGAGTAGGAGACCTGGATTTCGTCTCCTCTCAGGAATTCAGCTGGATAGGGATCAAACCATTCTGAACACCTACAAACTCAACAGGAGATCGAAGAAAGGAATAGCAACAACTCTCTGAACAGAAAAGCGACCACTTTCTGGAAGGTAGGACGTGCGGAGAAGTGAATCCGAGGCGATATTCGGGAGGATAGATGGCGGGGGAGGGGCCTCCGTCGGCCGCTTCTGGCAAGTGATAGAAGCACGGAGCACAAAATCGGAACTTTTAGAAGTCGGCTCCACTGAGGGACATCACTCCGGTGGCTAAGCTGGGGGTGGAACCCTCCGGGACAGTGTGGTCTCAGGACCCTCGGGGTCACAGAAAGACTGGGGGTGCCTGAGTGCGGCAGAGCTCCCAGGTATCGGAGCGGGTAAGCCGGCTGCAGAGGCGGAGCCCAGGCGCGGGCTCTCAGCTCGGGGTTGACATAAACCGTGATCCACGGCACAGTCGGGCCCCTGCTCCTCCAGCAGGGACCCAACAAGCGGCAGATCCGGGGAGACTCACCTTCCTCCCCCGGGAGGAGCCGTGCGGGAGCGCACCGCAGGGATCTGCTGGGTTGGGAGACTCCACACGGGGTCGGGTGCCAGAGACAGAGGTGCGCGGTCACAGGCCGGGCGAGCACGGGGTGCGGCCGGAGAACAGGAGACGGGAGTGACTGGCGGCTTTTCTCTGGGGGCTCACTGAGGAGCGGGGCCCCGAGTTCTCGGCTCCTCCGGGGCGGAGATTGGGAGGCCGCCATTTTCACTCTCCGCCTCCAAAGCTGTACGGAAAGCTCGCAGGGAACAAAAGCCCCAGAGAGCAAACCTGAGCAGATTACTTAGCCGGGAGGGGGCAAGGGCGGGGCAATTCCGCCTCCGGCAGAGACATTTGGAAACCACGGCAACAGGCCCCTCCCCAGAAGATCAGCGAGAACAGCCGGCCAAGACCAAGTTTACCCATCAATGAGAACGGCAGAACTCCAGCGCTAGGGGACTACTGCACATAGAATTCACGGCTTTTTTACCATGATTCTTTAGTCTTTTAAAGTTAATTTTTTTTAACTGTCTTTTTTGTCTTTTTATTTCTTTTTGAATTTTTCTTTTTCGCTTTTTCAATCAACATCTTATCAATCCCTTTTTAAAAAATTTTTTTATTTTTCATTTTTAGAGTCATATTCTATCCCTTCATAGTAGTTACCCATAGTTTTGGCTTATATATATAAGTTGCTCTCTCTTTAAAATTTTGAGATAGTTTCTTCTAACAGATTAAAATATACCCTAAATCTCTAGTATATGGTGTTTTCTATTCCCCTGCCTGATCACATCCTCTCCCTTTTTTTTCTTTTTCTTTTTTCTTTTTTTAAATCCTCTTCTTTCTTTTTTCAAACAACTTCTTATCAATTCCTTTTATAAAATTTTTTATAATGTCCATTTTTACAGTCATATTCCATCCCTTCATCTTATCAACCCTTATTTTTATACATATATAAGTTCTTCTTTCTTTAAAATTTTGGGAGGCACTTTCTTCTAAAAGACCAAAATACACCCCAAATCTAGTGAGTGGCACTGATCTATATACCAGCCTGATCATATTTGATCATATTCTGGGTTTTTTTTTTGTTGTTGTTGTTTTGTTTCGTTTGTTTTTGTTTTTATCTTTATCTTTTTCTTTTTTTTTTCTTTTTCTTTTTTCTCTTTTTCCCTTTCTTATCCCACTGCTTCAGGTATTTTCTGATTTCTTTAGAGTATATTTTCTGGGGATGTGGTTACTCTGCTAGCATTTTGTTCTCTCATTAATCTATTCTCCTCTGCACAAAATGACAAGACGGAAAAAATCACCTCAACAAAAAGAACAAGAGGTAGTACCGACTGCCAGGGACCTACTCAATACGGACATTAGTACGATGTCAGATCTAGAGTTCAGAATCATCACTTTAAAGATACTAGCTGGGCTTGAAAAAAATATGGAAGTTATTAGAGAAACCCTTTCTGGAGAAGTAAAAGAGCTAAAATCCAACCAAGTAGAAACCAAAAGACTATTAATGAGGTGCAATCAAAAATGGGGGCGCTAAGTGCTAGAATAAATGAGGCAGAAGAGAGAATCAGTAATATAGAAGATGAAATGATGGAAAATAAAGAAGCTGAGAAAAAGAGAGATAAACAACTACTGGATCACGAGGGCAGAATTCGAGGGATAAGCGATACCATAAGGCAAAACAACATTAGAATAATTGGGATCCCAGAAGAAGAAGAAGAAAGAGAGAGAGGGGCAGAAGGTATAATGGAGCAAATTATAGCAGAGAACTTCCCTAATTTGGGGAAAGAAACAGGCATGAAAATCCAGGAAGCACAGAGAACCCCTCTCAAAATCAATAAAAATAGGTCAACACCCCGACATCTAACAGTAAAACTTACGAGTCTCATAGACAAAGAGAAAATCCTGAAAGCAGCTCGGGAGAAGAGAGATGTAACCTACAAGGGTAGAAACATTAGATTGGCAACAGACCTATCCACAGAGACCTGGCAGGCCAG